TGACATTCAACATCGTACTTAGTGCTTCCCCGCGACCTCCTCCAGCCATTTATGCTCTTCGTCAAACGCTAGCTTTCCCTCCTCCAAACCTCCGACAAGAACAATTTATCAGTTTCATCTTGGCTTATGTCAGACGTCAAGAAAAGTTAGTGACCTAGGTTGAATCTCAGGTTAGCGGTTCGAAAAACATCGTATACTACTTAGCAGCGTCATTTGCGGGTTAGGACATCACGTGACATTGACGCTGTACAGTGTTGGAAGGTTTTCTTTTTGTTGTTGTTATTGTTTGGTACGGTCCCATGTTATCTTGTATCGTTTAGTCTGACCTTGTCTGCTTTTCATTCATTGGCTCTCTACACAGTTCCTTTGGCGACTTTTTTTTTTTTTTTTTTTGTCGCTTTTTGTTTTTTTTCCGTGGTGTGTCCCGCACTTCGATTGAAGAAACATTTGAAGAGGGAGAAAACTTATTGAGTTCTAAGGTAAGAGGCCAATTCTCTAGTGATACAAGGGTATCGTTTCCTGATAATTTCTATTATTTTTATTTCTGATGTTATTGAATGTTATGCATCTTTTATTTCTTACGTCGTTAAATGCCGAAAAGAAAGTAGCAGGTCAGCAATTAATATATTGTGATATTGAAAAAAAATATATTAATATTTCAACAATATTATTTTGTTTGACTTTCTCTGCAGTCACGCACTCAACAGTTATCGATTATCTCTATAGAACCATAAACCAATAATTTAGACTGGAAATTATTTCTTACATGCGTTGATTTCTTTCTCAAACAACCTATTTTTTCAACAGATTTTTCTAAACAAAGCAAAATTTGTCGGAAGATCAAAGGTTGATGACAATCGTTTAAAAAGAGCGACTATCAATTTTTACTGTTATTTAATTGTATCTTTTTATGACAATGACAAAATGTAATCGTAATATTATTATATATGCTGTATGGTAAATTAAGCCTGGAAGTTGCTGAAATGATTTGAACGATTTAAAGGCTTTTTTGTCTGGTTGGGGTGTCTTCCGATAAACATTGAGAAACAAATACCAATTTCTTTGCATATGAAAAGAGAGTCTTTACCTTGTCCTTCTTTAATCATTTAACGACATTTAAGCTATCCGTTTCTTTTTCTACTTATATAGCCGCTGGATTATATCTGGTAATCTCAAAAATCATTGTAATAAAACTGCATCATTGAAATAAGATGCAACGAGACAAAACTTTTCTCCAAAGTTAATAATTATCTTGTTCGAATTTCCAATAGTACCAAATTTTTATTTGGAATTCTTGGAAATTCGAACAAGATGAATCAAATAATCAATTTATCGATTATAACGTCCCTTAACAAAAATGCAACTCAAGGGCAGATTGCATGAAAATATATGGCAATCTGGTTCTTTGAAAAAGAAACCAAAATAATAGTAGTTTGCTATACGTTTCAATTTTCTTTTCAAATCTGGACATCCGCAAACGAACATCTCACTCATTTGAACATTGTAAGTTTTATTTAAAAGCTTAAGTAACGGTGTAACAGACTTGATTAGAAACATTTTGATTAAAATGGTCTTCTTGAGACAATACGAATAATCCAGGCCAAACTTTGCGAAAATCCGTCAGTTATAACTATGGATCTGCCAGGAGAGACAGAATTATGGCTGGTCAGTTGCGCATACGCTATCACAGGTTGCTGTTTCGAAAGTATAAAGACTAAATATTGAATTAAGTCTTAAAAAGAGCAATGTTATTATTCTATTTTTGTGACAATATATATGTCTTTCTTGTCTTTTCAGCTTTTTAATGTGCATATTGCAATCTGTGAATATCATACATTGTGTTATTTATTTTATGGGTTATTTTATTGTCTTTTGCTATAATTAGAATAATTTATATATCTGGATGCTAAAGATTGTATTTGATAATAACAGATGAAGTACACAGATATCTAAAGATTACCAGATGCAACATATTTCTAGACATCAGATCCATCCAAATGTTGAATTTAAAACAACAATAATAATTGTGCGTAAAACAATATTAATTAACGCTTGACAATAAATTTTATGAAATCAAAGCACAATTTCTAAATGACAAAAAAGCGACTCAGCATTGAAAATTTATCGGTAGTGATGCTTAATATTAGGATCTTATATTTTAAAATATCTGACTGGGCAAACAAGAAAAAAAGATTATGTATTCTTATGTAAAACCTGTACTTTGCTCTTTCCTTTGATAGACTTTGCCAATCCAGAATCTGTGATCGAATTAACCAAGCAAATCTTGTTTATAAAGAATGTTTTAAATCGTCCTTGAAAGATAGATGTGTTGGTGAATTGACTTGTTCATCGATTTTGAGTTGTATTTTACGTTCATCGGAGTCTGTGATGTCTAAGAAAGTAACTGCGCCTATCAATTTGTTATTAATTGAAAAGGAAACTCATTTAAGAATCCAGAGAAGCTATTTACAATGAAACATTGCTGTAGTATTTGTTAGACAGCTGCACGAATGGCACACGTCATTCTGATCTATCAGGAATAAAGAGGAAGACAGAGGGGGTGGGGTGAATATATATATATATATATATATATATATATATATATATATATATATATATATATATATATAGTCTGTATGTGTGTGTGAGCAATTTCGTATATTTGTTTGTGAAATATGATTAATTTTGCCTATTTTGAGATTAATATTTTTTCCTGTAATCTGTTGTCATCTGTCACCTAATGCTTAATCAAGACGCCGGCCAATGAATCACATCTTATTTTATGTGCCTCGAATAAACCTTTATTGTTCTCCACATTAAAGGACAATTAGGCAAGCCATCAGAAAACATTTTAAGTAACCGCGCCTATAATGGTTACTCAGTGGTTAAAAAAATCAAGTAGACATCATAAAGCCTTCAGAAGAATGAAAGATTCGAATCGGAAATTTTACTCGGCTGAGGAACATTTGCCAATTAGATGAAGAAAAGAACAGTTTTTATTCTTTTTTTCTTCGCTTCTGTATTTTCACGATAACTTAATCTTTTTAATTCTAAACATATAGCTTGCATTCTTTCTTTCTATTCTTCTTCTTTTATCTATCTCTTCCTCTTCACTTTTCTGTTCGATTCTCTTTCTTTCTTTCCAAGTATTTTTCAAGAGGGAGATCTGCTAATCGGCTTTCCAATAGAGGACATTTTTTTTACTTGCATCTGATGGGAATCGTGAAGATGATTGGCTGCCATTATGGTTTATTTCCAAAAGGCATAAACAGAAAATAACACAGAAAACAATCTCAGCCGAAATTTGAACTCGGTTCGCTGATGCTTTCTAACTCCGTGGTCGTATTTCAAAGTGACCTGTGTGACTTCAACAGAAAGTATTTGTGAATAATAATAATAATAATAATAATAATATTGTTCTCATTTTGAAAATCTTGCTTATTTACTTGAAACTTTTTAAGTAAAGAAAATTAGACTTCAAAATAAAGAACTTTTATTTTAATGTATTTCTTTTCTGGATTGTCGACAGACAAATAACTGATCTCGGTATGTGGTTGTGCATATTTATTTATGTTCTTGCTGCATCATAAATATCATTCGTGCTTGTAACTGGGTTACCAGACTGGACAACTTTTGAAAGTCTCGTCCTACTAAATTTGAAATTTCGTTGCAATGTTCAGAACTGCTTTAAAAACAAACGCTACATTAATCTGGATTAGTAAAGAAAGTCAGTTCCAAATTTAGAATCATTGGATTTTCAAATCTGTCTCAATTCACAGTCTGATAATCCTGTTTTATAACAGATTATTTTTTTATGATTCATCTAAAAAATGTTGCTTATTTCAACCTAAATTGTCATTGACTTTTGCTCTTTATTGCTTATAGGTTTAACGTTTAATGCAACTCAAACTTGTCTAATTTCTACTGGGAAAATGACATGGAAGCTCGAAAAAAATAAACTCCTTAAATATTTTGACCTCTTTACATATGCAAAAGCTTGTAAATATATAAAAGCCTATAAATATATACAGAAGTGCATTTGCATGCAAAAGCAAGCTCATAATAGAAATACCTATATGCAAATACATTCATATGTTTAACTATGTTGACTCTAAATTAAACATAATTTAAAAAATACAGACGAATTATAATTATCAGCGATTATCATAATCGCCTTTAAATTAGTGAAGGTCTTGATTTGGATTACATCAGTGCACACTAATGATTACCTTTCAAGGTTATATCACACCAGTTCTCGTACGATCACCGAAGTTAAGCAAGTATTGACAATACCTAAATGAGAGTGCTTACTTGTATATGCGGAGGGGGGGTGGATAACAACTCGGAATTGTTAATCGGAGAGCCGAGTTTTAATTCCAGTTGGGTTCGTTATATTGACTTTGCGAAAAGTATGAATACACGACTTATCTCCCCAGTTATGGGTTAAATAGTAAAACTTGTATCACTAAATTATTATTATCTCAAAAAAAAAATCTTACAATCTAAAATATTTTATGGATTTAAATAACTTGTAAAGGTTTGATAAGCCAATCAATCACTAAATCAATCAATTATTATTTCAAGCCAGAATTCCTATCCAGGTAAATAGCTTTTCGTGAAAGATTGTCATTAGCAATTAACATTTACTCAATAACAGCGTACTCGGGTACTTATAAAATTAATAATGATGTAATAAAATATTTATAATGTCATTCTAGACTATATGCAAAGTCTTATTTTATTTTAGACTCTAAAACATTTTGGTATAAATTCATGACAATGCTTTTTATACATTTATATCCATTTTTTATGCTATTCAAATAAGAATAAAATTAATTCCATTTTCTTTATGTTTAGGAGATCATCAGCTCGGTGTGGTCTTCGACGTGCACGGCCGAGGTGCTCACAATTCGTGGCCGTCAACACGGCCTTCCGAGAAGGAAGCTGCCACTGGCGTGTAAGGGACAACATCGTAGATTGTAAAGTAGAAGGGGGCGACAATGAAGATGCCTCAACGTCTTCTTACTTTGGCAGCACTCCTCACTGTACTCGTCATCCTCCTTCTCAACACCGCGATGGTCAGCAGACTGTTTTCAGTATCAGCTGAATACCGGGAACAAATAAACAAAGCCGCCGACCGAGTGCACCTTGTTTATAAAGACCCTTACCGGATCGACTATGCCAACACAGCAGCCGGGGCCAATAGGGCTCATCTGCATCTTTTGCGAAAGAACCTCAACAAGAGTAATGCAACAAGCGGTGCTGGCGGTGGCGGCGGCGGTGGCGGTGGAGGTGGTGGAACTGCAAATGGCGGTGACGGGGATGATGACAACATGAGCGTCGAGCGGGAAAAGGCGGCGCATGATCAAAACGACACGCCGGAACAGGAAGACGACACAGTTTTCCGGCGGGAACACCACCAACAGCAACAAAGTGGTTATTATAATGAACTTCAGCGACGTTTGGACAAGTCCCTTCGTTGGTACAAAAGCAAACGGACGGCGTTATTAAATGCTGATATCCTCAGACACAGCATAAACACGTCGGATAGCACATTGTATATCAAAGATCTTCAGCATATTGTACAAAAGTATTTCAGGGAAAAACCCAACACAGTGCCAATGAGACGAAGGAATCTACGGTTGCCCAATCTGAAGACGATTTTCCAGGATTACGGAATGTAAGTAAATTATAAATATCTAATCAGTAACTCTTCCAGTAATTGTTATTTTACGATTGAAAAACAATTGTAATTCAACGGTAGTAAATGAAACGTAAAACAAACTTTCAACAAGTTATTTGCAACTGCTAAAATTTTAGATATCCACAACCAGTTCAAATAGTATATATATTTATATATTCTAAAATTTCCTCCCCCCACAAAAGATAATACTAGGAATATTGCCGTTTGTAAAGTTCTTTGAAATTAAAGAGCGTAATATCTTGCAGAATATGGAGTCATAAATTATTAAACCATTCTGTCATATATATATATATATATATATATATATATATAGCGAAAGGCTACTGTTGTGTTACATACTGATAGCCTTACCAGCCACTGTGGCATTTTGTACACAGTAAGGCAGGCCTTGCTGTCCACTCACGGAAACACGTGGAAATTGATCCTCAACAACTTGAGCAAAATGGCTCAACGACATATTCCATCTGTCTAAAAGTTTGCAAACCAACTGCAGGTATTGGAAGACCTATGCGTGTTCATAAAAGTAGAGAACCTCTTTTTTTTTAACAATTGTCGTCCACGACGTGTGAGTCCATATATATATATATATATATATATATATATATATATATATATATATATATATATATATATATATTAATTTCTAAGTACTAATGATGTGCAGACTATTTTCTAATAATAGACAATAACACACACACATTCACATACTGTAGGCACATGTGACCCACAAATGATCTCGGGTTTCCATAAACAATGCTTTAACTTTAAAATATTTTAAGGATAAATAAATCTAGAATATTTAGTGAACATGCTTGAAAATTGATTTTAAATCGCTTATCCGTAAAATTAATAAACTGATTGCCGCTATTCTAGTTAAAAGTATAATCAGCTATAACAATAATATATAATTTTCTCTAACTCTCCCCCTCTCTCTCCATCTCTCTCTCTCTCTCTCTCTCTCTATATATATATATATATATATATATATATATATATACATATGTAATGTGTGGGGGGAGAGGGAGGGGGGATTAAGACAGTCCGTGATAATAGAAGAGAATATAACTTCAGAATTAATTTTTTTTATTTAAATGTTAAAAATAGGTTATTTTTTTTAAGTTAAATCGTTGTTTATGCTCCCCTCCCACATTCCTAACCTGTGTGTGAATGTGTGTTTGTTATTGTGTATATCATTAAAATATTTCCAAGTAAGAGTAAACACCATCTCTTGAAGTTAGCATAAAAAATTACAATGGTAACATTTTTGAGAGATTATCTATTGTAGCATGTTAACAAACAAGACATATTTGAGTTGGCGTGTTGGCTTTTTAGGGTTAAGACATCAGCTTTGACCACAGAGAATGGATAATCTAGCAGAGAAAAATAAAGGAATTATGTGATAGAACTGCAGGGCGAATTTTTCTCTCTGCTAATAGAAACAATAAAATGTCTCTGTGAAAATAGAATTTAAACGATAGCCAAATAACAATCAACTAATGAAAGCCATTTCCTGACGCATATAGACAATTAGTCTTTTCAGACATCTGTTTTTATAGTATTATCGATTATGTCATTGATAGTTTAACTAGAAGATATGAGTCTGTAAAGAGAAATTCTTATGCTCTTTAATTGCGTTGGCAATACTTGTTTATGTGGGGAAATCTCTTAACATCACAGCGTGTTTCATTTCCAGGACCTTACAATATTGATGTAAATTGCAAAGAAATTTTGAATGAATTAAACGAAAACGATTACACACTGTGGCAAGATTTGGGAAGTACAATTTAAAATAACGTTTTTACTTAACAAATTAAAAATGAACGTTTTAAATCTTTGCTCATCATTCTGGATTTTCTTGTGATGCCTATAATTGCAGCTTGTGCTGTTCATTCAAACTTTCTGACAACTCGCAAGTGAAAGGGCTGAATCAGCATCAAATCGGAACTCGAAATATTGATTTCGAATTTTAGGCAAAACATTGCACAATAGAAGGTTTGCAAAGCACTTCTGAAAACTTGAAAAGCTATTTGTACCGATATTTTTGTTATTTTATACGCAACTCAGACCTTTTGAAATGATTAGAACTTTTGGTTTTAATAATTGGTGGGTGCAATCTTTCCTGGGGAAAATCTGTCTCTGGACGGCCTTGGTTTCACGCACGCACGCACGCACAAGCACACCCACACACGTTTGATTAAACTCAATAAACCAATGAAATGAACTGTGTAAAATATCCAGTTAAATGTTCAACTTGATTCTCACCAGAAGGCATTGTGTTACTTGAAGCAAAGATGAATAGTGTTGAACATGGTGATCTGGATAAGTACGGACATAGTATAAATTGCTCTCATTTTGTTTAAATGGTACACCAATGCACGGATTAATCATTCAGTGGAAATTATCTATGATGATCAGTAAATTTTAGAAAGAAATGTCAGATCGGTATGGAAGGAGGGAAAAATCACTGAATACGGACAAACTGACATTGGAATGCCAGTTTGAAAAATGGGAGAGGTGAAAGGAACACTTCGAAATTTTCATGGCAAAAAGCAAGAGTGATATAAAATTTCCCTGTAGTAATGTAGTTGACAACTGAATCCTCAAACGACAGAAAACGCACAAAAATGAAAAAAACTCTCCATTTGTGATATTAAATCCAAAACACCTTCTCTATGTCTTTACGGCAAAATAAAAAAAAATCACTCGAATCGGTACACCTGAAGTAAAACCCGTCTCTGGTCCAAACGGGAATAACTTTTAATCTCTCTGTCTCTCTGTCTCTCTGTCTCTCTGTCTCTCTCTCTCTCTCTCTCTCTCTCTCTCTCTCTCTCTCTGTCTCTTTCTATCTCTTTCCCGTTGCTAGTATATGACATCTACTTCGGACGCAGTGCTAAATTATTGGGTTGATTAGAATGTTCATTAGCTTATTAAATAGAAAATATACCGAACAAAATTTTTAGGCCAGCCCAATACAAAGTTAAATCACAAAGACTATTTAATCAGTTTGAATATTGCCCTTTCCGCTAAACGTTTTGTTTAATTTCAAAAAAAAATATTTTTGTAATTTTCAGAAGAGTCAATATAATTCTGCGTGATGTTTTGAATTTTAAACTCATTATTTAAGCATTTACTTTCATACTTTTTACTATTTTTTCTTAATACAAATCTCATAAAGCAATGATGAGCACACGACTTTTAAAATTTGTTTTGTAAAAGTAATTAAAAATGATGCCTATCTCCAGAGAAGATGAAACATTATTTTAGTCATTTCCTATGATTAAAAACTGATATTAATTTTGATAAAAATGAGACGATCATAATGAGAAAATTTCGCGCAATTTATTTAATTGTTCCTCTTAAGGTTTTAAAATGTTTATTTAAATTTTTTTCTACAATATTTTTCTGGGAGAAAATATTAGCAAAATACCATTCAGTCATAGTACATGGTATGATAAGGTGGCTGATTTGAAATTTGACTCTCGACATAAAATCGGCGCTGTAAGAGAAAAGGTTTTTAAAAAGCGCCATTTTTATCACACATATTGCGAATTCTGAAACTGAGTTAAACTGTAAAGAATCTTGTCAACATTAGCCAAATATTTGTAGAAATGTTTGAGGAAAACAAAATAAAAAAATTATTTGTATGTTGTGTTTGTGTGGTGAGGTTTGGAGCATTGCAAAAATCAAAAGAAAACGATTTTGCTTTATTTGCGCAAACATTCTGCAAGATATTTTTCTGGCTATGAATTTTGCTTCTCACAGGAAACGTCTCTCTTGGCGAAAATGATATTCAGACATGATGCTCTTCATGTGTCGATTTTAGAAATAATTCTACTTTCTGCTTTTTTTTTTTTTTTTTTTTTTGCAGGATGTCAAAACTGACAAGTTGGGAAGCAGTTTTTTACAACATTCAGCAAGATGCTCTTTACGATGGCCGAGATCCAGTGATCAATGCAGTCCTTAAAGATTTGGCTGAGCAGCCAATCGAAGAAGTTGGTAAGTTAGATCAAAGCTTCGTAGATGCTTTTTGCAACACACATCCTGCAGATCTTTTCAAAATATTTAAATCATACACACTGCATATATTAGATACATACATATATAAATTCTTCCACAGCTATATATATATATATATATATAAACATATATTGTTAAATATAACAGACAATGAATGCTTATGATGTTTGATAATGAGCTGTTCTAAACTCGTATATTTGCTTTAATTTTGGATGAAAATAAAGACAAAAATTGTCCAACATTTGGATATTTTTATTAAGCGGTTCCTAGATCTAAGCTTTTGCCTCACATGAGCCATCTTCAGAGTGGTTATATGGACATTTAAACAAAGATATTCACCATCAAAGATATATTCTGTTATGGTGACATAGAAGAATGCTATGCGACGATAACTGTCGCAAATTAGCACACGCATGTCGTAAATTCATGGTGTGGTTCTATGACGTCATACCACTTGAAAGACCGAAATATTAAGAAAATAACCATATGTCTAGATTCGATGTAATGTGTTGGAATTTGTTTGAAATGTTAATTCTGTTGAGTGTGTGTTGCTTTGTTTTAATGTAGATGGGCTCCAGTATCTGAAAGTTCTTTTTATTGTATGTATATGTGAGTATTGTTGTGTTATCAACTAATATCGCGTGGTTGTAGAGCGTGGTTGTAGTAAAACCAATATATATATATATAGTTGGCTTATTATTAGTATCAGAGATACAATCTCTGAACAGGTATGTAAATTGATACACTACATTATTTTTTGTAGAGGATTTAGTTGTGTGGTTGTAGGGTTATTAGCGACTGTGAGGTCAATTGGTTTATATTTTTTAGGATATATGATGAGATTAACTTGTTTATTATTATTATTAATGGGTTTAACGTTTCTACCTATATTGTTTTTTAGTGCTGTTTCATCATGTTTGTAATTATTATGCATTTGGTTACAATAGTATAAGTTAATAGTGTTATGTTTATTTTGACGTACACCATTATTATTAATATTATCAATTTTGTTAGAGTTAAGTTTATTGAGATACATTTTAATTTGTTGATCAATGACGGATTTAGGAAATCCATTATTAACAAGTGTTTGTTTAATGTTATGTAATTCTTCATAGATTATGGTTTTGGAAGAAGATATCATTTGTGTGCGTTGGATTAAGTTTTTTTATGATGACTAACTTATATCGTTGGGGGCATTCACTATTATAATTAAGAAGACGTGAGTTAATGCTATTGTTTTTTTTTACATAGAGAAGTAGTAAATTTATGTGTGCTAGAATCAATAAGTACATCAAGGAATGGAATTTTATTATTAATATTAACTTCTAATGTGAATTTGAGGATGGAGTGACTTTCAAATTTGTTCTTAAGCTGTGTAATTTGATCAATATTTTTAGCTAAAACGAAAATGGCTTCTATGTATTTTACATATATAGCGGGTTTATTAGTGTCACTAAGTATATGTAAATAATAATAATCAAGAAGAAAACCTTAAAGATTCATTTCGGTTATAATTTATTTCGTGAATATGCATATATTCATGTCTTCAGACCGAATGGGGACAATACCCCGGATTGATATATTAGATTGATAGGGGGATGGGAAAGCAAGAAAAAGAGAAGAAAGAGGAGAGGAAGAAGAAAAGTGAATAGTCAAGTTCTTTTTAAAACGTCAGATAGAGGGTAAGGAAAGGAAATGGAGGAAGGAAGAGTTGAATAGCTAGTAGTAAGCCTAAAATAGACTGACACGGTCAAGAATTTTTTCCTTAAAGTATGGAACTTTGTATATCATGTTATATAGCAAATTGACCGATATGGCCTGCTATTTTAGACAGGACAAATCAACACAATTTCAAATAAGTTAGTCGAATAAAAGGGCCCTTAATACAAATAATAAATAAAAATTACAATAATGATAATAATGTTGTATACTTCGGCAGTGCAGTCATAGATTTAACAAACACGCAAAAAACACGTGTGATACGCAATATAAACACACATGCACATATACATACATATATAAGTGAACATTGAAGTCAACACCCAGCGTTGACAGTATGTTTCTTGCTTAAACGAAATCTTCATGGTCTGATGATTGCGTTTATGCATGAAATAGATTGTCGCCACTGGGTGTTGACCTCAGTGTCCATTTTTTATTTACATATTCTCTATCCTTGATATTAAATATAGCATTCCTTAAAACTATAATTTTATCATATATATGTTTAAGATATAAATACTATTCTTGTAATCAAGCATACATTGACAAAGCTGTGTCCAAAGTTACTTAGCAATAACAACGTTTAGCATCTTTTATCATCAAAATATTTCATAAACCAATCACAAACACCTTTTATCAGTTATTTGAAAGTTAAAATGTTTTTCCTGGAGGTGACTACTTTGATTGCATTCCTAGACAATGCTACTTAATTGGTAATTTATCTTTGGCCTGCAAACTAACAAGTCTTCTTAAAAAATGGCTAAGAAAGTAAGTTCTAAGGCTTCAAATGTCACAACGACGAGTCTGTTGTAAATACCTAATCAGAAAATCTAAGATTATTTGCGTGTTGGAAAATTGCAGGTTCTAGAAGGCAGTCGATTTCAAGCATAGATTGTCCGACTTCAAAAGACTTAATTACAGTCAAAATTGTAACCAACAAGAAAACGCTCTTCTTTTGTTTATCTCGACTAAGTTCATGTATTTCATGATACATGAGATGACTTGGATACATAGACGATAATTTTCAGTTCCGTCCGACGTAGATATTTATCATGGATGTTACGATGAGTGGACGGGCAATTTCAGATAGGCAAATACAGGTCTTAATTAGCAAGACGAAGAAAAAGAAGAAAAACTTGTTATTATAGTTGAAGTAATAACTCGTTTGAAAAATAAAAATCTCTTGTCTGCATAATTTTATTTCACAAGCGACGATTACATTATTGTATTCATTCTTTTTTCAGTTAAATATGAACATTTGAAATATGCCGTCTGTCTGTCTCTCTCCACACACACACACACACACACACACACACACACACACACACACATATATATATATATATATATATATATATATATATATATATATATGAATAAAAAGGGACAAGAAGAAAAGTATACCTTGATAAAGCACCTCAGAGGACGAAACGCGTTGGCTCAGTATAGTTTTCTTGTCTACAGATACACTCTGAGAATATTCACACACACATACATATGTGTGTTTATATCTATTTATCTATCTATCTATCTATATATATATATATATATATATATATATATATATATATATAGAGAGAGAGAGAGAGAGAGAGAGAGAGGTGATATGAGAGTTTATAATGTCGATGTATTATAACCACGACAAGTAAATGAGTGGTAGAAAATTGTGTTAAGCCAATTTTCCAAGTGGAGATGACCTTCCTGCATTGTCTATCAGCATTCAAAATCTTGATCGTTACTATGTTTTGAAAACAGGTTAGAGGCGCTGGGGGCAAACCTGAGTCCAAACTAAGTGGAACATAGATCATCAGATTATTTCGAATGTGTCTTTGTCCGCCTGCTTCGCTCTTCCTTAACGAAAAAACTGGTCAGAAGTTTATACGATTTTAATCTGTTTTGTGGCGAAGAATAATAATTAAATGATACAATATTTTTCTTACTATTTTCATCAATGAAAGAAAAAATAACTCCTTTTAACAACTAAAAATTTAACCTGTTCAAAACTCTTGTGTATATCTTAACAATGTCTGTTACGGCATCTGAAACAATCATTGAGCGTAATGCCGATACTTTACACTTTCAAGTACAAAATTAATGACAATGATTTTTAGTTAGTTTTTTTGAAGTTCTGAAATATACAATGGAAAGAAAGAGAACTGAATTATAATGAAACAGATAACTATCTTTCCCAATCGATATTTTTCCAGACGAAAACGGTCAAACAAGGTTTAATCTGAATAACAGAGTAGAATATTATAGAATTTTATTATGGAATTGAAACTTAATTATAAAACACTGTCAGATTTTATTTAATGTAAATTAATGATTTCCTAATAAAATGTCTTTTTAACAAATCGATATTGGCAAACTTTCAACTTATCGATACAGCATGTGAATTTCAGCTGATAATGTTTTATTTTTTATGAGAATATATATATATATATATTAACTGATTTAATGATGTCAGATTATATTATACAAAACGAGGGTTGTTCATAATGACTGATATTTATAATAACCCAACTTCTCTGTTACTCTTTCACATACACACTTTGAATTATTGTCCTTCTCCTTAACATTATTCTAAGAAATCAGCTAAACACTGACAGATCGATAGGTTGAATATAGACGTGAAGTCTGTTTACAAGATGACTAACATACGAAACGTCCCTAAAATATCAGATAATTTCAAGGATTCAAATATGGAGATGTCACCAGCTACAAAAAAAAAAAAAAAAAAAACAATTCCAGACATTAAATGTTAATGATGCTTGAAGTCTCTTAAGCAACAATTTTCAAACTTTCAAAAATAAAGAAGTAAAAATGTTTAAAAAATGTTTAAAGTAAAATTAATTTAAATAAAAACAAACTGAAAACAAAAATGAAAGGATTTCTTTCATACATATTTTTGCAAGACAAGCATTATTTCTTTTAGAAATTTACAGATATCATACGCAAACTTAAAGCTTTTAATGTTTATAATCTTCGTTGTTTTTTGTAATCATTTCACCCTAAACAAGGCGATAATGCCTCTAAGACGCAAGGGTTTACTAGGCGCGAAAGAGAATGAGAAGACTTTAAATTTTGCATAATGCCCATGGCATTTCTGGTTGACTATTTAATTCTTTTGTCTACGTTTAAGTTCATTAACTTCCTAAGCTATTATTTTTCCATTTTTTTTTCAGAAATGAAAACCGGTGGAACCCAACTGAAGCTTATATTTACATTCCAGAATGAAGGAAGAGCCTTATTTAAGCCGATGAGGTAAGACACTTTGATTTCACTACACACACATACACGCGCGCACACGCACACGCACACATCACCTCATATATACGCACACGCATACATGCATATATATATATATATATATATATATATGTTTAGATCAAATCTACGGCGTCCTTTCGAATTAACGTCGGATCATGGTCAGCAATAAAACAGTACTCAGTCAAAGCTGTAAGGAAAGATGAAAAATTCTGGAGACTCTTTACATCAAATAACAGTAACCCACCAACAAAAATTTCGTTTTAATATCGGCGCACACATGGTAAAATGGTTTTGAACCTTGAAGTTCTTCAAGTCACATGACTCTATACTTTATTCTAGCAACATAGCCGATGAATCCACGTTTATTGCAAACTATCGGTGCATAATTTAACTGACGCTCGTGTTTACATCTACCCCCCCCACCTTCCTACACATTGATAATTCCATCAACAAACCATATTTAGTCAGATGCAGTCCTTCTAGAGGACAAAATGAGTTACACAGAATTTATATATATATATATATATATATATAAACAATATTTTCTCTATATAGAGATTAAAATATATTTTTGTTTCTAAAATGATTATCATATATTAATCATCAGAACTTTTTTTCTACCAATTTTAATAACTGTCGAAATTGAAAACCTTTCACATTGAAAATTATTGCCAATAATAACTCAATTTTTGAATTATATTTAATTACAACTTTAAATAGAAATCTCATTTCATACAAATAGTCTGTAACATATGTGAGCTGTTTTTTTTTTTTATGTAAATTATGTTATACTAACGTAGGTCCTTGAAAATATATCTTTTGTGCCTGACCTTCCATTGACTGGAATATGTTATTTTATTGGTGCATAATAAAAGTATAAGAAGCTATTGAAAATTCGCCTGAAACTGGCTTTTCTTTCTAATCACAGATTTCCACGAGACAAAGAGACTTTACCGAACCATTTCTACTTTGTTGATTTTGAGAGACACAATGCAGAAATTGCTGCTTTCCACTTGGACAGGTTAGTGATATTACTTCATATCAAATCTGGTGTTGACGTCTGAACGGAAATGTTATTTGGAAAATAGAAATTTGTTAGTTGAAAGTAAAAGATAACATATATAAAATTGATATTTGATGAATACATGAATGAACCTCGAAATATGCTGTACTAAACAATTTTTTTTCTTTTTTTGAATTTGATATCAGCTGAAAGATATCAGCTTCTTGTGGTTAGTGTATAAAATGCAAACCATACGAAAAAAAGGTTCTTTGTATTAAACATTACAGTATTGATGTTTTTCTTAATGTTAAGTACCAAATAGTTTGTTTTGATTATCCTTAAAAATATAACCAAAATGAAAATCAATTTGAAAACATGACTTATGAGCAAAATTAGACAACCTTTTGATCAATACAGCGGGCATTTTGAAAACAGGACACAAGAAAATCTATTAACAAATAATGATCAGAATATTCGACTCCTGTCTACAGTCTTTTGGACAAAACCGAAAGACAGAAATTTGCACTGGGATGACTTCAGCTTTGTAGAATAGGGTCATGAAGACTGGATAATAGGGTCATGAAGATAATAGGGTCATGGAGTTTGGATAATAGGATCCTAAAGATTGGATCATAGGATGCTAAAGATTGGATAATAGGATACTAAAGATTGTGAAAATGTTAGTCTCTGAGAAAACCGACTGTCACTTGAAAGAGACAGAGAAACGATAATGCCCAAATTGTTGCTATAAAAACTATAAATTAATTCAGATGCAGAGAAAGCAAAAAATCTAAAAGATTCTCCCGCATTAGATATTAAAAAATATAAGCGACAAGAACTGAACCGAGTTTTGGAGGCGGCGTAAGCGAAATGCACAGAATTCTAAATCGAATTATATTAGTGATCATCAGAATAAGACAAAAAACATCTGCGACAAACGAACTAACAAAAGAGAAAACTTTTCATAAAACAATTAAATTTTGATAAGTTTTGTTTTGTAGATCATTGAATCGCTTATAATTCGGCTGTACTTGGGATTCGAAGTAAATTTTCGTTATGTATTCATTTGTAAATTCTCAGCTCTACTACAGAACTCGATCTTTTCAGCAATTGAAAGGTGATATCGTTACAGTTTCGAGTTGTTATTGTCGAGAACAATAATTAGAGCATCGTAGAAGTCATCTAGAATTTTCTCCCCTCTTCCTCCTCCTCCTCCTAGATGCACAGCTGAATTGCATGAAAGACATCAATGAACTTGAGTTTAAGTTTTTTATATATATATATATATATATATATATATATATATACATCTCAGCAGAGATGTTGTACTAATGTCTGCCTGCGTTTGTTTGATAGATGGCTTTCTTAAAACTCTGTCGTTGTAGAGGCAGTCTTTATCCAGTGGTAAGAGAAACCATTATAACCTCCATATTGCAGGAGTTACCCGATATGAGGCAGAAAAAAATGACATCACATCGCGTGTACGGCTTCCCTTTGGATTTGACCCGTGAATTTTCTTCCGAAGTCTGTGTCTCCCACCCAATTACCTGTTCTGTGTAAGTTAGTATAGGGATTTAATCATAGCTACACTTGTGGAGGAGTAATGAACTGTGCAAAGTGTTTTTGCTATCCAAGCAAGATGTTATCAATTTCATTATGTTTAATGAGATAAGCCAAATTCTTAGTTTTTAATCTCGTAAAAGATTCTGACTTTTGCTCAAGAATCTCTGGTTACTGTGCAAAGTAAAGATATTAAACTCTTAAATATTTTACACGACTGCATGTCCCCCGGTTTTATCAAGTACATAAGTGAATATATATTTGAGCATAATTTTTTTTTTAAAATAGAACAGAGATTTATAATTATATGATTGAAAATATACGTAAAATCAAAAGCAATTAAAAACTGAAGATGGTGGTGATCGGATTCGTTAGCCTGTTAATCGAAATTTGGTTGTAGAAATAAAATTTTGTGTAATCAAACCTCTTTTTGGGTTTGGTTTCTTAGTTGAACAAGATAACATTTGTAAAATATATAAGTATTTAATACATAGATGGACGATTTTTTTTTATCTAAATCTAAATGATAATAGGAATAGTAACCGTTTCTAATTCGGTATTCATTACTCGAACGGTTAATGCTGTTGTCGGTTGAAATTTATCTTAAAACAATTTTTCAGGAAAATAGGTTTCTCAAGTCCAGTACCTGTCATTATTGTTTCCATGACTAATTGTTCAATCTTCGTAAATGGCAAATTTATAGATAAACATCAGCGGAGATCATGACGATGGAAGAAAAATGTAAACATTTATACGGAGTTTTCATTTGCCAATGATGATTGATATTTCCTTTTCTAAATGTAAGATAATAACATTTCAGAATTGTTTAGTTAGCAAATTCGGGAACATTGTCATCTTTTGCATCGACTTATTAATTCCGACCATACTTCAATTGTTGCCATGTCTGTAGTTATTTCACTTGAAACGGTTTTGGAAAACGGAACAGGCACAACTTGAAGGTTCATTTGTCTAGATTCTCAAATTTCAAGAAAAAATTAAACTTTACCCAGAGGTCGGCAAACTTTTGGAGATAGCGTGCCAGACAGCTATGTCTCGGAGGAGGGCCATGATATCTAATATACTATAATAAATTGTTTCGACCTCAGACCGCTCCGTCCAGAAAGATTTCTTTGTCCGGAGGTTTGAAGAAAAACAATTAAGTTAATGTTATTGTTATGTTATTTAAACATGGTTCCTTAATTTACTGCAGAAATAAAACAGGATAACAACACAAACAACAAAAAATGCAAATTCCTTACTATGGTTAAGTTGGTGGGGCAGACTAAAATCGTGGACTGCATGTGGCCCAGGGTGTCGACCCCTGCTTTACACATTCTAAAAGCTTCGATTCTTTGTCTCATACTATTTAAACTTTTCATCTCCATGATAGATACAAAAAATTACTTTATAAAATATTTCATATCAAATAATATATTCCTTATTGCAATTAGCGTCTAACTCTAAATGGCAGTTGATATTTGAATTTGCTTAAAGTCCAGCATATTTTACTTTCGAATTGTTCCGGTAAAAATATTAACAAATATTTCTTTCTCTTCACATTTCCTTTCTTATTAACTCTTTGTCGGTTGTTGCATTTAAGATTGCCATTATTTGCCATAATTATTTGCGATTTTTTATTGTTTTCAATCATTGTGTTATACAGGATCCTTAATTTTAATCGGGTACCACCAAACACTGGTCGCCTCATCAATATGACACGTGATATTAAAAGATTAGCCGACAAGAAATTGGCCAAGACATTCTTTATATCTCCAGGTAAGAATAAGAATTTTTGCCTCAAATAATATTGCTACTTGGATTCGAAGAGGTTTCTTTGTGGCCCGGAAGTGTTGTTTTTATAGACATATTAGACCAGCAATAACGACACAAAAAGAACAACAATACAATGAGTACTAATAGAAACCCCTAACACAGTAAACACAATACAGTTTCTTCATTTTATCTTTTCATTTAAATACAATTAATATTACTACTACTCATAATAATATATCAAATCTAACTATGTAAGAAGGGGAACCGTATTGTTGTAGACTACAGTACAATCGCTGCCCTTACATCGCTTGTTATTATTGTTCATAGTATATATATATATATATATATATATATATATATATATATATATATATTGTATTTGAGCAAAAGATCATTATTTAAACATATATTATTAAATATAAACGATGAATGTCATCTTTGACGGTGGATATCTTTGTTTTATGTTTGTATAACCATTCTGAGAATGGCTCATGTGAGCCAAGAGCTTAGGACGAACTTAATAAAAAATATCCAATTTTTGTCTTTATTTTCACCAGAAATTAAAGTAAACATGCGGACATTAGAACGGCTCATGATCAGACATTCATTGTCTGTTATATTTAATGATATATGTTTAAATATATATATATATATATATATATATATATATATATATATATGTGTGTGTGTGTGTCTGTGTGTCTTGATCCCCCCACACACACACATCGAATAATCGACGCTTCATAGTCCTTTATGGCAACAAAACTGTGGATATGAGTACAGTTGTCCATTAATGAAATCAATATAGTTTTGAAAATACTTAACAAATGGTGATGACAATGTGGAAAAATGATATTTTTATTGTTCAAAACTTTATTTATCCGACAGTGTTATATAGATCTTTGCATGTGTTGTAATAGAAATACATAGGCTGTATTACTTTCGGAGCATCTGTCTTGTGTGTATGCATATATTTTCACCAACAGATTATTGTAGAGATCATTTGAGTTTGTGGGCTTATTTTCTGCCCCTTAATTTCTCGACAGAGTTGATGATCTGCGATTTGATCGGTTACTGCATCAATATTATTGCTTTTAGACTCGCCTGGCGTTGAGTTTTCGACCCATAAGGTTTGTGCCTATGGTAGCATAACCTTATTCAACATTTCTAGTTTAGTCAGTCAAGTTAAGTGCCATACGTGATACACGGTTGGGCTATCATGTCATGTCTCTTTCCAGTCATGATTGACTAGGTAGAAGATATTCTCGCAGTAAAATACCGTTTCTTTCTGCGTACAGAAAGACACTGTTCTACTAAGTAACCCATAGCTGGGGAAATGTTTGCTCGTAAGTGAATGTAACGCTACCCCACTGGAATTCGAACTCGGCTCTCCAATTTCTCATTCCGATCCGACATCAATTACACCACAACACGCATCTCTTAGATTAGTTTTACCAATTAATCACATACAATGAGTTGATAACTGACATATAACTGAGCACCATGCCACTTCTCTGCAGTTGTTGCTTTAGTCCAGTTTGGGTGCTACTCTTTGTGTTAACCTTCTTCTCATGTATCTCCGACATTAGATCAATAGGTGCTTGATTCATCATTCTATATCAGCTTATATCACAATTTTAAGCGCCCATCTTTATGCTCTTTGACGAATTTAAAGCAAATGTGCGCCATTTTGTAAGTCAGATGTCGCATGAGACGAAATTGCTTATGTGCTATTTAATGGGCCAGATGTTGCATAAGACAATTTTTTTAGTTGATAATTCAAGTCATATTTTTCTTTTACATAGATGGCAGTTCTATGGCATGTTGGTGAATGTATCTACTGATTGTGTTGTTTATCTTTATGACATTGTAAGTGGCGTTTATTATAAAGAACAACAACACATCCAACATCAGTCTTCTCTCCACAGTGCCGACATGCTGCACAAATTAAGTTGTAGCTTTTGAAGACAAACTACACAAATTACTATCCATCGCAATTACCTTTAATTCTAATAAAATTATCATAAATAAATTATTTCACCTTATTAAATTCCAATAGTTCTGAGAGACTGAGAAAATATACTCGATCTAACCCACACCTTCATACCTCTTACAGAGCTCGAACCTCAGCTGTCAGGTTAAAGTAACAATCATGTACATCATGTGAGACATTCATTAGCTTAATTTACGACACGACCGGGCAAACGCAAGAAAGTTAATATTTATATTTAACAGCATTTTTTACTCTTTTTCTTTTCTCAGCACAGAATGTTTGCTTCCACGGCAGCTGTTCTTATTACTGTGACACCAGCCATGCTATCTGCGGTAACCCTGACATGCTAGAGGGTTCCTTTGCGCTGCTCTTGCCCCCGGAGAAAGTCGCACCTCGCAAAACATGGCGATCTCCATGGAGACGTTCTTACTCGAAACACCGCAAAGCATTATGGGAGATTTACGATGACTACTGTGACCAGGTCCGATTGAAACCTCCTTTCAACAAAGGACGTCGACTCGTAGACATGATGGATATGGCTGTGTTCGACTTTTTGACAGGTGAATAAATTTTAAAGTAGTAGTGCAAATAAAAACTTTTGGAACGAGGTCGATGATTACGATGACTTTAAGTCGGTTTAAGGCCATTCTACTTGAGGGATTTAATTTAGGAATATTAAAACCTCACTACATTTCTTTGAAATAATACTTCTTGATAAAATTAATTATATATTAAAGTTATCACACAGCAAATAAATTGCACACTTGCACATACGATTTCATTTTTTTACATTGCAAAGAAATTTAACTCCAAAAATAGTTTCATTTTTTTACAAAGTTAAAAAATATTTCACGTTGCAGAGAATTTGTGAAAAATAAGAAATTAGCAATAAATTTTGTTTCGATTCATATAGAAACCAAGCAATTTTGAATCTGATAAAGTTGTTCTCGTTCAAATATGTTTGATTGATGGTATTATCAATTCACTTATGGGAGAAAAGAAGTTTTCACAGATTTTATTATATTGGACATGATTATGATGGGCAGGAAACTATTTCTGAGATTTCAATAATTTTTAGCTTTAAACACTTCAGATATCAATATTGCTATCTTACTGGCTAAAATCAGTTTTCTATACAGAATTCTGTCAATGAAAAAACAACGAAAATTGTGTATGCATTAACAATTACAGTCCAACTCCTCTAAACCGAACATCTGTGATGTTCAGTATTGAAGGGTACTGTTCGGATTCGGGGAAGAAAATGCTGCTGTGGCAAAGTTTTAGAGTTTAGAATACAAAAAGTAATTTGTAACGTTGATTCGTTTTTATTTAAAGTGTATATTGAATACATGCGTATACAAAAAATAATTGACAACCAATACTAATTAAAAATTTTGTGCTAAACAAATATTGTAATTTGTGAAAAACTAAGACACTTTATGAAATGTTATGAAAATTATAAATTATTCACTAGCAGCATGGCCCGGCGTTGCCCGTGCTTGATTCAAAAATCGTACGACTCATACAGCAATCGCTATCCCTTGACTTAAAATATTTTTGCCCTTCATTGCCTTTAAAGGAGTGCCCTTTGCCGTGCTGATGTTGCTACATGCCTTACTTCTTGCCTATCTCACACTGCGAATTTTTTTGAAGCTCTATACTAAACATTAAATCTGTTACGAAAAAAGAACTAAACAAAATGAACACAAAACGATCAGCTTTAAAAAAGGACTTGTAACTGGAAAAACCGAATGAAAAAAAGAAAGTTAACAAACAAATACTTTTTCACACCCAACCCAGTTCTGCGGAATCAGAATCAACGTTGAGTTTAAGCAAGCGAATGAGCCAATTGGAGTAAAGTGCCATGCAGATTTAAATTTTTCCCCACTTGTGACGAATGCAGCTATCGATTTTTTTTTTTTTTTGCATGCTAGCATGCTAGTTAACATTCGTGTCAGTCAGTTGTTGGCTCTCACGCTGGCCAATAGAATCTTCCTGCCTATTCGTGGCAGCCAGCTATAGGCTCTCACTCTGGCCAGTAGAAAATGGCCGCAAACTATATGAAAACTGCCATAGAAGCATGAAAAAATCGATTATTTCGACTATCGATGGGAGTTGGGAAATGCAAAGTCGGTCTTGGCCTTCCCGCTAACTTGGAGCATTGAAAAAATAGGAAAATTGCGGCCGTGCATTCGTTACACACGCGCACACACACACACACACACACACACACATCCTGCCTTTTATAGATAGAGATCCATTGTCAGATCTTGAATTTCGCTGCGTTCTTCATTTGTGTTCATGACAGTTGTTTCTATGGCGATTTTAACGCGAATAAGACATTTATTTAACTTTACGATTGTGCAGTTTCTTTTTGATAATTTCATTTTGTAATGCGCATGTCTGGATATTCTAGTGGTCATTGAAACAAGGGTTTTGCTCAATGAATTTGAGTAGCGTTTCAATAGACGTCTTTGTTTTTCCCATGACACTTTTTCATCATCACTTTGATCGTCTAATATAGACACATTATTACTGCAACTATCACTATTGGCACTATCTTGAATACTGTCTTCACAATGAGTATTATCTTCTATTCCTGCTTTTCAACTAACTCATGCTACAACATCATTTGTTTCACTTTTGTTAACTGCAACATTAGGTCTATCTTGTTACAGCTCTTCTTAAAGTGTCAGCTTTCACCTCATCAAATGATTGTGCGAATAAAATCATGGCATCTTTGACAATACAACTTTTCTGAAAATTTTGTAGGCTAACATTGCAGTTCATCAGTTTCATCATGAGATGATTTTTGTAGAAACATTTCATATTTCAAATGACATCTTGATCCATTGGTTGGATCAGCGATGTAACGTTTGGCGGTAAATAGCACGCAAAAACACTTCCACAAGATGACACTAATTTATCTTCATCTAGATGTGCTCTGCAATTGTCGAAAAGAAGTAAGCATCTTGAAATTGCTTTGCCTAATTCAAGAATGCGGTTTGTTTTACAGATGGGACAAACTCAGTAAACAGATACTGATTCATCCATACATTTTTCGAGGGTTTGTATGTGACTTGTAATTGCACAATTTCTTTCAAAAAGACTTAGATTTTCCAATAACTGAAAGTTTAAGTTTGTGGCTACCTGATGCATTAGAACACACCAACACTGTTAATCTTCTTTTATTTAGTTTATAATCTGTTGTTTTTCGTTCGTCCGCACCAGCTAAGGTTTTTGTGGGCAAACATTTCAAATTAGATCCCACTTTCATCAGCATTGTAGATTTTCATCGTACAGAATTTGGTCAAATTGATGTTCTTTTGGTTCATATTGGTCTTTCGTAAAGCATTTCTCCTTTTATTTTCACAGGACGAAGCAGCTTGTAAAATTTTTTCTCACTGTTTTTTTTTTATATAGAAAAGTATGCTTCTTCTAATATTATATTCTTTTATTAGAACCAAGTTACTTATTCCTTTATCTATATTTTCAAGAATTTGACGTTTTTGCACAAAAGTCAAGGTAATTCTCTTCCTTTTTGAACTTAGTAACATTATTATGGGCAAGAAATATCTTATTCAAAAACAATTACAATCTGTAAAGGAAGTCAAAAATATGGATATTCAGTATAACTCCTCTAAACTGAACATCCAAAATGTTTGGTATTGAGGGTATTGTTCAGATTTGAGGAAGAAAAGGCTTCATATTTATGCCAATACAAAAGTTCAGATTTGAAGACAAGTCCATATTTGAGAATGTCTAGATTATGCTATGTTCAGATTTGGGGAGTTCTACTGTAATTTTGACCAAGAAAGATATAACCTTGATATTTTGGTTTGTTCATTTTGAAGGCTTGGCCTTTCTCCGTTCGTATGAGTTCAGTAAATATGAAATTTCTAATTTTGTTTTAAGTTTGACATTTGTACTTATTTGCCAAAAAATATAAATGAGGAAAACCCAACCAGCTAATGGGGGGGGGGGGACTCTGATCTACTTAATGAAAAATGGTTTTACATCCAGACAGCCACTATATACGAACTATTGTATTTTTTCTTTCATATTCCTATTTGAGTGTATCAGGGATTTTACAAGTATTACGTAGACTTTATAATTCTTACACTGGTTTAATATTTTATTTCAAATAAAGCGATATTAATCATAAAATAGAGCCTCGTCTTTTGCTCACAAGCTGTGTAATGTCTCATTGAGCTGAGCTTGAAAGTACTCCTGGTGAACAAAGTTGAATCGACCCATCTTGGCTGATTGAAGTGGCACAGGAGAACATCAAATAAAAAAAATGAAAAATGTGCACAAAGGAATTCAAATTAACACCAAAGATTACTTCTTTTATTTCTGGTCTTTCTGCTTGAAATTACAATGTGCGGTCTTCCGTTTAGAAATGTTAGAAAATGGCGCACACTGAATTCTATAACAACCCTCCTCTATGTCTATCACAAAATTTTAATGTTAGTATGATATGAGATAGAAAGAGAAAGAGAGAGAGAGAGAGAGACGTACAGACAGAATGATCGGATATATATCACGGATCAAAAGGTTTTGACATTTGTATCAGCTTATATATATATATATATATCTGCACATACATACATGCACACACACACACACACACACACAAACACACTCACACACACACATATATATATATATATAATTATTTTATATGAATGTTAAGGAGATTCAACATTTTATAACATTTTTTCATATGACTTTGTAGCACCATTAATAAGATATCAAAATATTTTCTTAGTGTTCCCCATGAGCTTGTGCCACTTTTTCAACCAAATTGTGCATTCCATCATTAAAGAATAATTTGCAATTTTTTGTTGAAGAATTATTCAAGGAATTCTTCGATATCTTAAATTTTTAGAACTGCTAACAAATGATGTATTGGTGGATGGAGTGATGTTCTTATAAATGATGGATATGGAAACAATGCTACATGTAGGAGAATTTCCCATCCTAGCTAGTTTCTTTGTGTCGTATTTGTAACTTGAAGCAAAATCAGTGGCTAAAAGTTGTTTTCTGTTTCATTGTTTAATTCAAACGAATGTTTAAATTCTGATTGATCTTCGTTTTCTTAATGTACAACTCCTTTTTCTAACTTGTCGCTTTTTTTTTCTTTTGGGTTGTAAATTACTGAGTACAATTTATGAGAAATTAGCCAAAAGTTTCAAATGTGATAATTAAATATAATAAGTATAATACTTAGTTTCCAATATCTCCTTCGAAGTACTTCTTTTGGGCGAACCGAACAATAAATGAAATTAAATAAAAAAAAATACATAAAACATTAACTTACTTTCCTTTAATAGACTCCAAAATTACATCACTTAGCGTCCTCCATAGCTTACCTTCCTTTACACGTTAAATTTTTAGAATATTTTAGAGCGTACTTCATTTCAGAAATTATTTTCTTTTTTTATTTCTGTGTATAAATACAGATTACTAAGTAAAATTCGTGCCCTTGTCTTCCTAAAGTTCCTCAAGGAAAGAAAGGCCTTGACATAAAATTTTCTTATATATATATATATATATCAAATACGTGGCGCAGTTTCCATGCTTGAAGATGAATGAATGTACAGTTGAAAGTACTTGCGTATTAAAGAAAGACCGTATACAGCTAAACAAGGATCATAACATTCATGGAGTAATTTGTAGGTTAATGCAACTTAAAAACTTTTTTAGCGAAGGGATTTCGCCATTTTATATCATTAACTTTACTAATCTACTTTTTGTATGAATGATTCATAATAATATATATATATATATATATATATATATATATATATATATATATATATATATATATATATAAGTGAACATAGTGAATATATATATATATATATATATATATAAGTGAACATAGTGAACTGTCGCCTCTAAGTGTTGACTTATATGTTCACTTTTATATTTACACACGCTCTATCTCTGATATTGAGCACTTTATCCCATAAATATAGCACACCTTAAGATTATATTTCTTCATATATATATATATATATATATTTGACTTTATTTATATATATATATATTTGACTTTATATATATATATATATATATATATTTGACTTTATATATATATATATATATATATATATATATATATATATACTTTATATATATATATAAGTAAAAGTGTACTTATATCCGTTTATTATTGCCCCTATATTTATATTTTAGTAACTTTCACACATATGTTCACTCGACACAAGGCCCAAGAGCCGCTCGAGATAAAGGCTTACGAGCATGAGAAGAGGAGCTAAGAAGTGCCATTTTGAGGCTTTATATAGGTGATATAAGTGTTAACCTAGACTTGAAGCGGTTAACATTATAATGATCAGGAAAGCATCATATTAGTAGTTTCTACAAAGTGGCAGTTCTAAGGAAGAAGTGGATTTCATTCTTATTAATGGAATATAAAGGGAATGTTTATGATTCGTCCCTGTTTACGTGTCATGGCGTGTCTTAGCTGTAAAGGTCTGAACTAGTGGAACTAAGGAATGTTCCTTGTCAGATCATTTTCCATGGAAATAGCCGTAGAGTGGTCAGAGGATTGCTACATTTCATCTGTGGGAAAGGAATTTTAGGGTGGGGAATAAATAATCATTCACAATGCCGCGTAGACAGGCAAGTGAGAGCTGGACAGCTCCAGCCCAGACATGGCTGTAATACTTCACTTTTGATCTGATTTGGCTCTTGAGCTATTTAAAGCATAAAAGGAAGAATCAGATATTTTCTGAAGCGGTATAAAGAACTGACCATTTTTCCAGCGTCTTTAGCGATGCATCGGATGTATGAATTCCAAATAAAAATAATAAATTTCGACACAGAATAAAATTACGTATATGTACGAGGTATGTCTGAAAAATAAAAGGACTAGTGTTACAAATAATTCATGCTAATTTCAAACAGCAAACGCTATATGTTTTCTTCTTCAAGTCGCCTCTATAAGACCAAGATATACTTACCTTTATATTATTTTCTTTTTAGGTAATATGGATCGCCATCACTATGACACGTTCAGAGAATTTGGTAATGATACTTTTCCCTTACACCTGGATAATGGCAGAGCGTAAGTAACCTCATGTCGAAACGATTGTTCAGGTGTCATGCATTATGCGATGAAACTATAAAACCCAATTTGAACAGATCCTCATTAATTGTCATCAAATATCGTCCAGTCAGTGCGGGGAAAATTTACAATTTCGTTTAAAGAAAAAAATTAGTACCTTGATGATAAAAAGTGCTACTGCGAATATAATTTCATGAAAAAATATCTCAATGTATTCAGTCTTCCATTCTTGTTTCAAGCATTACGGATACGATTTTACAGACAGAACAACGTTTTTATATTAGTGTTTTTATTCACTAAACTAAATTTCGATAATCCGTTTAAAAAAAATATATCAATGTTTTTTAGGCTATGATTTTCACAAAATATAGATATCATAAAAATATCATATCACAAATATCATAAAAATATCATATCATAAAAGATATCATATCACAAAAATATAAAATATCACAAATATCATAAAAATATCATATCACAAATATCATAAAAATATCATATCACAGATATCATAAAAATATCATATCACAAATATCATAAAAATATCATATCACAAATATCATAAAAATATCATATCACAAATATCATAAAAATATCATATCACAGATATCATAAAAATATCATATCACAAATATCATAAAAATATCATATCACAAATATCATAAAAATATCATATCACAGATATCCTAAAAAAAAGAAAAAATAATGTCTCCTAATTAAAGGAGACATTAAAATTTAATCTTTTAATTTGGTTATTATTGAATAAAATTAAAAGTAAAATATGTCATTTACTAGCGTCCTAAAAGTTTTTAGTTTGCATACGTATTGGAGGTTGACTTTGTTTTAGCTTAAAAAAAAAAAATCACTCTCATTGGATTTCACATATGCCTTCATCCATCCAGTACAACTTATCATATATATATATATATATATATATATATATATATATATATATATATATATATATATATATATATATATATATATTCAAAAATTATAACATATGATATGCATGATATAACATCACTACAAACATACATATGTTATAAATTTGAATAAATATTATTTGCTGCTCTACTCGGTACTCTTTTTAAGAATAGTGTTTTTCTTATCGGAATTTTATTCCATCTGTACCAAACCTGTACTTGTATATATATATATATATATATATATATATATATATATATGGATTTATATACATACATACATACATATATAATGTATATTTTCATTTTTATTTTAGTTTTGGTAAAAGTCATCATGATGAACTTACAATTCTTGCACCTGTCTACCAATGCTGCCTGATTCGTTATTCAACGCTATTGAAACTCTTTCATTTTTATCAGGGGCCGGTTCCCCTGAGCCAATTAATGCAACAGTCGATGGCCGCAGATGCCCTTTTCCCAATTCTGACAGACTCTCATTTGCAGGCACTGGACAGGCGAGTTGGAATTGTTTTGCGTACTGTCTACGAGTGCATCATGCGCGGGAACGCTGTAGCCGACGTTATAGTAGATGATGGATTCTAGAGTTTCAATGGAAGCGGATAGAGTTGTCAACCAAATGTGTGCATTTCAACAGGAAAAGGATTTAATAGCAGTTCTGCTCTCATTATATAAATGGAAAAAATCGTGGATAATCATTTTGCATAGATGTGTGTGTGAGTGAGAGAGAGAGAGAGAGAGAAAGAGAGTGTGTGTGTGTGTGCGTAAGTCAGCAAAAATACAGGCGAAATTATTTTACAATGGCATGTTGCAAAAGAAAAAATAACGATGGGGATTGGGTGAAAATCTTTTGCTTCTGTTCACTCGTTTGAAATGAATGATTTGATTTTAGTAATCAATGATCAGAAATTTAAGAAAAAAGGCTATACAATATACACAAAGAAAGAATGAAAGAAAAGAAAGAAAGAAAGAAAAGAATGAAATAAAAGAAAGAAAGGAAGAAAGAAAACACTGATTCCATCGCAACAAAACAAAATGAAAACAGATTTACAGACACGTTTCCTGCGGCATAAAAAAGAAACGTTTGAAGAAATCAAAAAGCTATAAACTTTAATGTAAAAAAATATCACGGTTATATTTGGACATTTACGAAATGCCCTCTCTTCTGCACCTCCCTACAAAATGCTTGTGTTCATTTTAACACGGTGCCATCCTGACAAAGGCTTTTTTCAAAATTCTCATCATTTCAATATTTTTTGTAAAATTAATAACCGATTTCTTTCTTCTTCCCCTTTTATTTTTTAAATTAATATCCAAAAAAAAACAAAAAAAAAACGAAAAAAAAAATGAAATTGTTTATATTTTTCCATACCGTTCCTTGTGATATTAGGTTTATTTTTTACATAAAACTCTCTTGGTTACGGATGGACCTTTTACAGAAAAAAATCTCAGATCTTATGACAGAATTGCTTGCATAGCAACAATTATAAGGGAGACAATGACTATTCTTGTTTTTTTTTTTTTTGTTATTTTTGTTTTTTTTTACTTACTATAACATTGGAAGTCATTTCTTTTTTTTAAATCGGGGTGAATAGAGACTTTAACACCATTTTATTATCGTCATTTTTCCTTAAGAAAAAATACTGACAAGCATTTTCACAGATTCAATGATTTTCTGGTGTCCAGCGCCTTACTGCTGACATCATGTCACAACTGACATGACCACGTGATACACCGACATGTTGACCTGGCGACAGTTGGTTACCTTCTTTAATAACTACGAAGAGGTATCTTTGAGAATCAAATCCGCAAAAACATTTTTCTACACATGAAGGTATATGTATATGAGATGACCCCTGTTCATAAAAAAGCCTTATACATTTTATGCAAATGCGCTCCCATACATACATACATATATATACATACATACATACATACATACATATATATATATATATATATATATATATATATATATATATATATATATATATATATATATATGAATGCCTATGCACGAAATCTAAACATAGTATGAATGGTGGTACAATTGAAAACATACAAAAAGCATACAGAAGCCTAAATACAATAAAAATATTAAAAAATAGTACACCATTTTTTCATACACTTCAATGTATATATATATATTCTGTTTTTATAAGAATCTCACACATCAATAAGGAAAGTGACGTGCATCCAGTACCGGACTGGGTCTAAAAATATTTGTTGTCAAGAGACAAAGGTGGTTCCCCTACAACTACTATGCTATCATTTCAGTTTCATAACGAATAAATAAAATTTTCAGAAATTCATATGGGAAAAAGATTACATTATATTTTGCGGAAATAAGGTATTTTTTTAGTAATTACAGTGTACATGTACTGTATATATTAATGGCAGTAGATACCAATAGTTTACGACCCAAATTACACATTAACAGATAGTTCAAAAGCCCATTAATAGTGCATTGCATGCAATCCACTATATTAAGAAAAATAGACGATTGTTCGAATCTGCCCATAATTGCTTGTGCACCTAATTCATCTAACAATTCTTATTCAGTGGATAAGTAATATGTATAATTCCAAATTCTCCTCAGGTAGCGAATTTCTTAAACGTGTCTTTATGATCTTTAGCTCTTGAAAATGTCCTCTCACATTGGACTTGAGTAACTTTTATTACTAAAAGAGTTGTCTGGGTTTGTTTCTTTATTGCATTTTTGTTTAATATGGTGGGAGTCCACTCCATCAAGGGCCCACTTGCCATCGGACAAGAAGCTGACCACCTGGGCCAGTCCGCCACTGCATGCATCAATGAGTCCACATTACAATCACACATACGAACACACACACATATCAACTAGGGACTAAATTAACAAACTAAATCAAATACGGTACAACATGTAAAATTTATATTGATCTGAAAGAAGACAATATCCATACACATAATCACATCAACATTTTCATTCACAATATCATTATGACACGAATTTACGCTGTTTCTCTCGTAAAAACACGTCTCTAAAGTCCTCTGTAGACACGCTAATGTCCTACTAGGCATTAATTTAAACAGGCACATAAATAGATTCACTCAACATACCCCAAAACTAGGCAAACCCTAGTACAAATTGGCAAGCCATTTATTGCGAATGTTACATTTGGTGTCTTTCAACTCAGGGCTATCGAACACACACACACACACACACACACACACACACACACACACACACACACACACACACACACACACACAGACTTATTTTCACATGATAAGAGCTTTCATATTTTCAGAAATATAGTTTCCGGTATTATGGTATATGGGGAATATATTTCACTCAATTACAAATCAGTCCTTTTCCACATTTTAGATGCTTTCATTCGTACTCTACAAAACAATACAATGCACATAGAAATACAAATAATACATTTATGAGCTATGAATATAGAGATATAAAACATACACACACACACACACACACACACACACACACACACATATATATATATATATATATATATATATAACATATATATACCCACATATACATATATACATATGTATATATACATACATGTATATATAGATATATACACACACACACACACACACACACATATGTATATGTATATGTATAGATCAAATTATAAATTTAATATTTTAAAGGGACGCACAAAAAATACAGATTAATGATTATATTTATTTAATATTTTATTTCCGTTGATCGGAATAAAGAAGCCTTCTCTTCAGTCATGTGGACCAATTATTCACCGCGCGCGCGCAAGCACACACACACAGACACACACACATACACACACACACATACATACACACACACAGACACGCATGCACGCCCACACATGCACACGCATACATGGGAACACAATTATTGACACTTGTCAGACACATATATGAACAACTGAACCCAGTGACTAGAGACGTACAGTTACAGTTTTTATACTAACAAAATGTTTCTGTTTTTATAATTTTTTTTTTCTGTTGTGTAAATGTCGACTAAAAAGATCATTTTCTAACGACGTTGCAATTTTTGTTGTTTTCACTTCCACTTGTTTTTTTCTCCTCTCAACCAATTTACCCTCCTTCTCTCCCCCACCCCCAGTCTCAATTCCAGAATTCTCTCATCAGTGCTGCCGTCTAGCGGGAATATAATAAATATGGTCAAGAGTTACATTACAAGAAAAGGGATTTATTTTTTAAATTTTCATTTATTTTCTCTATTTATTTTTGTAGAGCCTGGCGTTAGGTAATTTTTAAGTTTGTAGCTGCGAAGAATTTTGTAACATTTTATTAATTCAACAAATTTATTTTAACGTCCTTTCCTCAGCCTCTTAGAAGAAAGAGTTAATTTGAATCATAAGTCTCTCATGGTTAAAATTCTCATCACCGAGGAAAGGAGATCAGTGTAGTTAATTTTACATCTCAAAATTGTGAATGGGGCACTAATTTGTCTGTGTACTTATTCTTGTTTATAAATTTGTAAAATATTAATCATTTCATTCACATTATATCAAAAAGAAATGCTAATGAATAATTTAATAACAATTACTGTAATATAAATATTCCCTTTAATGTGAATCTCAATTAAATAGATTGATTCGTTGGCGGAACATCGTTTTTTTTTTTTTTTAGATAGGCGTGAATTTTAGGTAAAAGGAAATTGGTTAAGAATTTTGACAAATTTATCATTTTTATTGTGAAATATTTTTAATATAATTATTTTGGTACCATAATGAATTCTACCAGAATTAAGTGGTGTTGCGTGACAGAAACACAAAATGGAAAAACAATCATTTTTCATTCCTCAAGATAAACAAAAAAGGGGGGTGGCATAACATGATAAAAGATAGCCATTTTTGCTTGTTTGTTTATTTAATATTGTACACAAAACTTTCATAACATGTTTCCTTAAAGTCAGAACCAATGTATCTTTCGTTCCATTCAACTGCCGATCAGAAGAGTGTTAATTTATTGCAAACAATTGTATTAATTTTTGTTTGCAATTTATCTTACGAGGGATTTGTTAAGTGCAACCATTTTTTGTCATGAGAGAAATATTTTACATTGTAATGTAATTAATAACAAAGATTCAAGTAAAAATCAAAGACACCGGAAGTTAGAGCCAGCATCATATAAAATGTTAAGAAACACAAATATTGTATATTTATTTAAATGCGATCATAATATAGAGTTAGCTTAATTTACAAGCTTCAAAACTAGACAATTTTTTTTTATTTTTATGATAAGTTTAGTTTTCTTGTATAAAAATGTATTCCCATAACCTAACATTCATTAGCTTCTGGACTCACAATAAAAGAAATACTGATAGCTTTTATAAAAAGGACAGACCTCCTAGACTCTCAAACCTAAATATCCATAAACCAGGGATTTTTCAGCTATTTTAGTTCAACTGAAAATTGTATCATGAAGTTTGAAAGTCTATGACGTCTTGAAAGTTTAAGCTTATCCGTATAAAAATCGGTCCAGACAAAAATTATATGAATTCATTTCCTTCCCAGTCAATGCTGTCAGATCCTTCCTTGACAAACTTTGAAAATCCCCCCCCGCTC